ACATGGTATCCAGCTTCTTTATAGTGACATGACACTGCCTAAAATTGAGCATGGAACCCACATGCTCATCTTTTTTTTTTTTTTTTTTTTTTTTTTTTCCACATGCTCATCTTTGAGAAGACATGCCAGGATGAGTACTTGTCGTCAGCCTCTCAGGACTGAGCTCTTTAAGTAAAATATTTTAATGTACAGCTCCTAATTAATCAAAAACAGGGATGGCCATAGTCACAACTTGTTCAAACTTCACTTTTCTGGCTTTTCTCTAATCCTTTTTCTTAAATGTAACTTTATAATTTTATATTCTGCCTTTTTTTCCCCTTCATGCTACAACATGCTCATAACGTGTTATGTGACCGTCTCTTGGCTTTTTAAGTAAATTTCTGTTGAAGTATAACATGACCCTTTAAAGCATCAACCAATTGGCAATACCATAATTAACAGTTACCCATTCTTGGATAGTTGTTTCCAATCCTTCACTTTTACTATGCTGGATGGAATACCAGTTACGGGTGTTTGAGAGGATTGCGTAGAGTACTGTGAATTCTTTCTTTTCATCTTACATGACAAGTTACTAAATTCTGTTGATCTTTAACCTCTGAAACGTTTCTCCCATCCCTCCCTCCCCTGCCCTCCTCGCCTTCTCCCTTGCCAGCCCTCACCTCTATGGGTTTCAGAACCTCCTAATGAGTCAGTTGGCAGCCAGTCTGTCTCCCATCTTGTTTCTAACCCCTCGTGCCTCCAGAGGGAACTTGTTTCATTGTCAAAGTTAAATCAGAAGTCGACTTGGTCAGTGGTTTGTCAGAGTGCTGTCAACAGCCTGTACGGCTTACTTAAATGGTATGTCTTCAAATCGATGACTTCTTAGATTCCATAAACAATGTATCATTCTGTAATATATTCTGTGTCATTCTGTAATATAAGCTGAACTTTTAGCTCCTTCCCATTTCTTAGGGTCTAAGTCTGCTATAGAACATCTCAGCCTCTTTCCTGCCCATCTACTGCATCTCTTCTGTGACGACTCAGGCTACTTGGGGCTCTGGCGCATGCTCACATCCCCGTGCCGTGTGCCCACCCTGCTCATCCTGGGAGATGCGGCTGAGGGGCCTCTCTCATATCCCAGCTTCCTTCCCCACCCCTCAGGCAGAGCCGGGCACTCTTCCTTGCTCTCATAGCTGTCATCACTGTGCTTCTAATGACCAGAAGCCTTTGTCAGGACAGGGTCAGACTCTTAACTCACCTCATCTCTGATGTCTGACAAACTGTGTGTGCTCAGGAAATGTTTAAATGGAGTTGAAGAGAACCTGCAAATCTAACTTCTGCAGGAGACTTGAGAATAGGCTTGTCCAGTCCAGGACATTTTCTGTCTCTTTCCAGGAGGTGCCTGCCTTTCCAAGCTCGTACTGACTTGGCCTTTTGCTGGGCCTGCTGGCATCAGGTTTCTCAGTGAAGCAGGCCACATTTCATTGGAGACTTCAACACTGCTTCTTTCTATGAGTGAGATGCAAGACACCTGCTTGGCTTTTTTTTATTGGTGTTTGTTTTGTGTGTTTTTTTTTATTTGGCATATTCTCTGTCTCTCTGTGAACTATGACATAGAATGCTTTGAAATCCATAATTTATTTTGTGGTCACCTATCTATCAAACTTGAGGGAAAAAAGTAGTAAAACTATCCCAGAGGTGGGCCTTCCTCACTTTAAAAGTGTGTGCCGTTAGCCCCGTGCGAACTGGGAGACAGCGTTGTCTGTGGCAGGACTTGCTGTGAGAGCTCATATCCTACCACCTACTTGTGGCAGTGCTCTTGGACAGGTTACTTAGCCTTTCTCAGCCTTGATTTCACCACCTGTAAAATAGCGTCTGGGAAAATGAGACGGCTCACATCATGAGCTTTTAAAATAGTGCCTGGAACCAGTGGTTTCTCAAGGTTAATTTATCTCAAATGCTTATCTCCAAATAACACTCACTGTTTTCTCCCTCTCTGGGAAGAAAGCTAAATTTTTTCTCTTACTAATCTTGTAGAACTGTCAGATTTTACCAGACAAGGGAATTATAAAACTTAAGTAAATTTTGTTTCTGTCAGCTCAAAAACTAAGTTTCATGTGGGGATTTTAGTGGTTGTTCCATATGTCTGTTCCAATTATACATCCTGAAACTGGGGAAATAACCACAGAGTGGGGTTGGGGACACACTGGGCCCACTGTGATATGGGCCTGAAATAAAACTCCATTGATATAAGACAGGGGCCTTGGATGGTCAGAAGAGGGAAGTTACATGGAAAATCAGGCATGTGCAAAGTAGATTGGCATTCAAGCTGGCCTTAAGGTGTACATTCTTTTACACCTGCAGAGATGGGGGTGTCATCTTTTTAGGTGGAGGAATCACCCCAAAGAAAAGAGTGACCTGGTCTAGCTGGAACATGGATTTTAGCTGTTACAACCTAAGAAACGTTACGTCTTAAATGGAGTCATTCCTTTTCATTTTCTGATCTAAATGTCAGCTTTTGCCTGACATATGAGAACTTTATTCTGTGGCCTCCAACACTGGGATTACTGAAATCCACGAGTTCCAAGGACTTGGGTGGGGTTGAGTGTTAAGGATGATGTTAGTGATGGTCAGTGAGTTATTCCCCCAAATTGTCTTCTACTCTGCAAGATGTAGCTCATGTGCGTGACTTCATTCACGGCAGTCATATGGTGCAGGTGCCATTCTCTCATCTGATAGAAGACTGAGCCGCAGGTAGGTTCGGGGACGGGACTTGCCCGAAGTTCTAGCCATCTGTCACACCTCGGCCTCTCCATATTTTCCTTTGAACCAAGAGTCCACCCAGTGAACGAGTGGGCAGAGTTGGGGTCTACACCCAGACTCCTTGCTTCCTGGTCTTTGCTCTTTGACATCCCCGAGTGCCTGCTGAATGCCAGGTACCATCCATGCCCCCTCCCTCCATCCCTCCAGTAGTGAGGTAGCTGAGAGAGAGCCCAGGTAGACGATCTGCCTGAAGTAAAGGGCTGGAATTGTAATGTGTGTCATCTGTTTTCTCATGGGTAGCTGGTGAAAACACGTGCTCCAGCTTCTCATGGAATAAGCCCAGGGCCCTTGCCTGTGCAAAGAAGTACTTTTGTCTCTGGGACGAGGAGCCACGTTCCCAGTTTTCCATTCTGTCATGGTTGCTGATGCTGCGCCTGATTTTGAGAAGACTTCTTCCTGTCCAGGGTTTTCCTCTCAACAAACAGCCCCTCCTTTAGCGCATCCTGAGCTTAGCTCCCTCCTCAGAGCAAGCTCCTCGTGCCAGGGGCCCCATCTCCCCACCCACTGATTAATTTAGGGCCCTCTTTTTTTTTTTTTTTTTTTTTTTGAGACAGAGTCTCGTTCTGTTGCCCGGGGCTTTCATTATAGTCTGTTACAGACTTTTCTTTTTACTTGAGTTGCCATAGTTACCAACTTTGTATATAAAATAACCATCATTCCCCACCCTTTATTCTCCCACCAGAAATTTCGCTGTTTTCTGCTGTGACCTTTGCAGAAGGAATTTGATGACTTCTTAATCCTTTCCTTTCTGGCTGTACCACCAGCAAATGTTTCTTGCTCTCCTTTTTACGGCTCTTTACTCCAGAGTCTAGATTCGCTTGGGCTGCAGCTGGCTGCTTCATTTTGCAGTGTTTTTGGGTACAGAGCCACAGCCCACTCAGCCGGTGACCCAGAAAGAGGATTATGAGAGGGGAAACAACTGACTTAAAAAAAAATCTGCCCTAAACTGGTTCTACCTGTATTACTTTGATTGTGAGTACTATAAACAAAAATTATATAATTACAGGGGAAGTGAGGTCTGTCAGATTGTGGTCAAACACCTAAAGGTTTTGTCTTGTACATCAAATCATCTGGATTAACCTAGAACTCCCGAACCACTGGTTTTGGTAGACCGTGTGGCTTGGTAATTTCAGGGCTGTTTGGGTTAGTGGGGTATTATCCAGATCATAGGTTCTCTGTGTAGTCATCAAATACCTTCCAGGTACGGGCTCACTGTGCCACCAATTGCTTTATAAATATTGAAATTTCCTTGAAGATGGCAGTCACCAGCTTTCCTGGAGTTTCAAGCCCATACAACTTAATTCTACCTTATACATTTACTTCAGACTCGACTGTTCCCGCCGGACTTCTGCTCACACCTTTCTGGTCTATTTGTCCTGTGTTCCATCACCCATTTAGTCTCTCAGACTAGAATTCCCTTTTTGCTTCCCCTGGCTCACTTATTGCCTGTCCTTCAAAGGGTATCTCAAGTCCTGTCCCTTCGGACTTCTTCAGGTCTGGTGATTCCTGCCCACTTTCACTGTTCAGAGAAGTTGACCTTGATGCAGATGTGTGGCTTGTGATGGTTACTGCTATGATTAGCTATCATTGCCTTGGAACTAAGCTTCACAGAAACAGGGGCATGTTTTGTACCTAGCTTGTGCTAGGCATATTATGGGCTTGCAGAAAATGTTGATGGATTGGAGTGTGCCTCTGAAATAAACAAAACTGTAGTACCATTCCAGATGCATTAACAAGAATCATTGTACAAGTCAGGGAAGACGAGAGGGAACATTTACCTGGCACTGAATAACAGTGATAATAGAAGCAATAGACATTTGATGGCCATCTCACTTGCTTTACCTTGTCTCATCTTCCCAGCAGCCCTGGGAGGTAAGGGTGGCCTGCTGCTGCCCGTTTGGAAACAGTATAGTGAAACAAAATGATTTTGCAGTCAACCAGACAACAGTGAACCTGAGGTTTCACCCAGGCCTCTTAATTCCAAACCCCAGGTGCTTGACACCAGCCCCTAATGGCTGTGACATTCCTTGACTCCTCCTATGTGAGTAGAAACAGGGCTCAGTGCCGATTTTGCGGATCCTCTTGGAGCAGTTGTTTGTCACATCTGTCACTCTCACTATAATATATTGCATCCCTTTAGTCTAAACATAGTGTGTATGTGTCAATCTCACTCAAGTTCTTGTCTTCCTTTGGTTTAGGAGAAAGGATCCTGGGTTATGCTGAGGAACCCTGCTATCTCTGGTTTGTCATGGAGTTCTGTGAAGGTGGAGACCTGAATCAGTACGTCCTGTCTCGGAGGCCGGACCCAGCCACCAACAAAAGCTTCATGCTACAACTCACAAGCGCCATTGCCTTCCTGCACAAAAACCACATCGTGCACAGGGACCTAAAGCCAGACAACATCCTCATCACGGAGCGGTCTGGCACCCCCATCCTCAAGGTGGCAGACTTTGGACTAAGCAAGGTCTGTGCCGGGCTGGCACCCCGAGGCAAAGAAGGCAATCAAGACAACAAAAATGTGAATGTGAATAAATACTGGCTGTCCTCAGCCTGCGGCTCAGACTTCTACATGGCTCCTGAAGTCTGGGAGGGACACTACACGGCCAAGGCAGACATCTTTGCCCTGGGCATTATCATCTGGGCAATGATAGAAAGAATCACTTTTATTGACTCTGAGACCAAGAAGGAGCTCCTGGGGACCTATATTAAACAGGGGACTGAGATCGTCCCTGTCGGTGAGGCGCTGCTAGAAAACCCAAAGATGGAGTTGCACATCCCCCAGAAACGCAGGACTTCCATGTCTGAGGGGATCAAGCAGCTCTTGAAAGATATGTTAGCTGCTAACCCACAGGACCGGCCTGATGCCTTTGAACTTGAAACCAGAATGGACCAGGTCACATGTGCTGCTTAAAATTCAGGGCTAAGCATCTTGGGTGTTTTTAAACTAGGTGAGTGCTCTCTTTTTGTTCACTGGGTTCTTCATCCTGGGCCCTGGGGTGGGCCCTGGAGTTGGGGGGTGGGGGGTGTTGCAGGTTTGAAGAAAACTTAGTGTTTATTATCAAAGATCCCCCCAAGTCTTGGTAAGGAGATATGTGGAATTAAGTATCTGAGTACGAGTTGGAAAGTCTAGAGAAGTCTTCTGAGGGGAGATTGCATTTGAGCTGAATCTCTAAGTTTTTTAGAAATACCTTTTCTCATCAAGTCAAATGCTTACCGTAGAAAATGTACAAAAGAGGAACAATTTTTCAGAGAATGAACACTCTTTCTAATCATATCCCTGTTACTTAGACGTCCAGTTCTATGTAGTTTAGATCTTGCTATAGTTAGAATTTTGTTTCATGCTCTTTTTACTCAATACTAATCTGAGCATTCCCCATGTCATACTTCGAAAGTATGGCTTTCAGTGAGTGTATGATACTCCATTATATGTACCATAATGTAACCTTTCTCCTATTTCAGATATCAGATTGTTTCTCCGTGTTAGGTGCTGTAAATGTATTGGTAGATATTCTTGTATGGAAGTCTTCGCTTATTTAACAGATTTACTGTGAGTTTATTTGTCAAGTAGTCGTGCACCACGTAAGATTTAGATGAGTTGATGGACTGCATGTGACAGTGGTCCCATAAAACTATAAGGGAGCTGAAAAATTCCTATTGCCTAGTGATGTCACAGCCATTGTAACTTCCACGTGCAATGCATTGCCTTTTCTATGTTTAGATACAAAAGTACTTACCCTGTGTGTTGCAATGGCCTATGGTATTCAGTACAGTAACATGCTGTACAGGTTTATAGCCTAGGAACAATGGGGTATATACCACATAGATTAGGTACGTAGTAGGCTATACCCCCTAGGTTTGTAAAAGTACATTCTATGATGTTTGTACAACTATAAAATCGCCTATCAAAGCATGGCTTAGAACATACCTCCATCGTTAAGTGGCACGTGATTTGCCATGCTAGTTTCTGGGGTAATATGATAAGCAAAATCGGAAACTTGCCCCATCTTGAATTTTGCAGCTTAATTAAGGAGAGACATATGTTCATCAATATTTATCATAGTAGTTTTACCATGAAGGAGAAGAGGTATTAAGGGAAATTAACCTCGCAGTTGTTGGTGCCCAGAGTCAAGAGAAGGGAACTAGGGTAGAGGGGAGTATCCCAGGCAGAAGGATTAGCCTCTGCAAAGGACCTGAGGCCAGAGGGAGCCTGACTAGACCACCATGGGTTAGTAAGGAACATATCGACATGTGGACATCAGAAAGGACAGGAACCTGCCAGTAGAGGGAACAGTGTGGACAGAGAGGTTGAGGTAGAAAACCCAAAGGTGTGTACCAGGAGCAGCAGGGTAGTTCAGTTGGACCAGAGTGTGAGGTGTGAACAGGAAAGTAAGATGAGAAATTGACCACCATATACGCTAGGTATTTATACATATGCCGTTTCATTTCACCTTTAGAACCCTGCAAGGGTTAAGTAATTTACCCTGATCCTCCTAAATTAAGGTCAGGTCTATCTTAGTCAAGCAGGGCCCCCCCCCCCCCCCCTTTTTTTTTTTGAGGCAGAGTCTCACTGTGTTGCCCGGGCTAGAGTGAGTGCCGTGGCGTCAGCCTAGCTCACAGCAACCTCACACTCCTGGGCTCAAGCGATCCTCCTGCCTCAGCCTCCCAGGTAGCTGGGACTACAGGCATGCGCCCGGCCCATTTTTTTCTTTTAATGTCAATATGACAGCTAGAAATAAGCTACTAGAGTATTTTGCTGAAGCCTTGAGGTGAGCTGAGGGGGTGGTGTTGATCCTAATGATCATAGAGAAGGAGCCTCAGGAACCATCAGACACACAGCCTTCTGTTACCCAGGTGGGTTCTTAGTCCCTTTCCCTTCATCTCCCTCGGATTTCTAGGTGGAGTTGGTTCTTACTAACCTAGGCCTGGTTTCATCTCTCTCAGTGAATGTATTTCTGGAGCGAGTCACCAGTTCAATTCTTCATTCCACAAACATTACTGAGTACCTTCCAGGTGCCAGGCCAATTAGTCCTGCTACTCAATGGGGAAGAGAACAACATTCCCCAAAGCTGGGTTTGGGGTAGTGCCATGTTAGAAACCAAAAGCGTTGGCTAGACAGTGTTTTAATTGTATTTTGTGCTGACACTTCGTATTTCCGTCTCATCTTTTCTGCTTTTTTTTTTTTTTTCAGACAGTCTCACTCTGTTGCCCTGGCTAGAGTGCTGTGGCGTCAGCCTAGCTCACAGCAACCTCAAACTCCTGGGCTCAAGCAATCCTACTGCCTCAGCCTCCCAAGTAGCTGGGACTACAGTCATGTGCCACCATGCCCGGCTAATTTTTTTTTATATATATTAGTTGTCCAGATCATTTCTTTCTATTTTTTAGTAGAGACGGGGTCTCGCTCTTGCTCAGGCTGGTCTCGAACTCCTGACCTTGAGCGATCCACCCGCCTCAGCCTCCCAGAGTGCTAGGATTACAGGCGTGAGCCACCACGCCCAGCCTTTTCTGCTTTTCGAAAGACCTCTTAGAATTGAAGTTTGCTCTGTCATAGGAAGGTTGTCATTGGAAGATGGACCTCAATTTGGGTTAGGATTATGGAGTTGTCACAACTAATTGAGATCAGGGCACCCATTTGGACAACCACACGTGGGATTTGTGCTGTTTTGCAGGGCAAAGTTTTAGCTAAATAGGAGTGATTCCTTCATCCAGGAGAAATAGGTGCCCTTGAGAAGAGAAGAAAAATTAGGAATGGAGTTACTGGTAAGTGTCCCAGGCTGCTAGGTCAATTCATTTTGTGGCTCTGATAGCTAATTAGTACAGCAGTGGTGGTGCCAGTTTGGCTGTAGCCCACCCTACCCTGTCCTAGGTGGGCACTTAGAATTGTGGGCCTGGGCCCAGGTCTGTGACCGAAGCCAAACCTATGGTGCCAAAGCTTCAGGTCAGTCATGTTGTAGATGAGCTGTATCTGGCTGGTCAGAGGCTTGAGTTGGGAAGAACATTGAATCCAACCTCCCCTCCCCCTGCCAGACTTCTTAGATGGACAAGCTGCTTCCATTTGTTCCACATATTTAATGGGAAACTGATTGTCAGGTACCATTTTAGACACAGACGATACATTAGTGAACAAAACAGACAAAAATTTTTGCAGTGTGGAGCTTAACATTCTATTGAGAAGACAGACAATAAACATGGATAACATACTAGAAAATACCATGTGCTGGGGTGGGAGGAATACAGCAGGGCAGGGGTAAGGTGGGAGATGGGGGGTGGTATTGTGCTCTTAAAATGCAAGAGATCAGGCTGGATCTCCTGGAGATACTGACTGTGGAGCAAAGGTTAGGAGTTGAGGGAGTGAATCCTGAGGATTTCTGGGGAAAGAGCATCCCAGATAGAGCTAACAGTCAGTATAAAGGCCTGAAAGCTCAACGGTGAGCAGGAAGAAATACATAGAAAGAGACTCAAGGGTAAGTAGGAGCCAAGTAGAGCAGGTCTGGTAGATAAGATTTTGACTTTTATCTTTGAGTGAGGTGGAACATCATTGGTGTATGTTCAGTTGTGTGATATCTGATCTTTTGAAAGGATCACTTTGTCTTCTGTCCTAAAAATAAACGATGGGGGAGCAAGTGAGGGGATAAGATGGGAGGCCACTGTAATAATCCAGGTAAGAGAAGATGTTGGCTTGAAGCAATGGAATAGGGGGTGATGATTGGACTTCGGGTATATTGTTGAAGTCAGAGCCAATGTGATTTCCTTCTGGATCAATTGTGAGGCGTGTGAGAAAGGAATTAAGGATGATTTCAAAGTTTTGGCCTCAAATTAGAAGGATAAAGTTGCCATCAAATGAGATGGGGAAGACATTTGGAGGAATAGGCTTGGCTGGGGAAAGTTGGGTTTTAGTCATCCGAAAGTTTGCGTCTATTTGGAATCCAAGCACAGATGTAGGGTAGGCAGTTGGAGTTCAGGGGAGGGGTCCAGCCTAGAGATACAAAATTAGGAGATTGCCAAATACTGGAGTGGGTGTAGAAAGGTCAGAGGCCTGCGCTCTAGGTTGTCCAACATTGAGCTTGGGGACAAAGAAAGAAGCCAGAGATGGGAAATGAATGTCACAGAATATTCCGTGGTAAATTCTGCTTGCAGGTTGAGGGAGATGAATTGACCATTGGGTTTAGTAAATGGAGAGTCCTTAGTGCTCATGGGAAGTTTTGGTGAAGAACAGGGGGCCCCCTAATGGTTTGGATTTGTGAGGGAAAGAGGAGAGGAATTGGAGAAATAGACCCATAATTCTCAGAGTTTTTGGTCTGAAAGGCTCATTACGCTCCTGAAATTACGAACTCCACAGAGCTTTTGGTTTGGATTCTATCTGTGGATATTTGCAGTATTAAAAATTAAAACAAATGTTCTAAATGTTCCTTTCAAATGAATGAATGAATAATAAACCAGTTACACGTTATCATGAATATCATATATTATGTAATAACTATTTAAAATTCCACTCACTATTTTTTTAATGTTTGCAAATCTCTTTAATGTTTTAATAGTCCTCTGGATTCTCCCTTCTGCATTATAATCTGGTACCATGTCACTCATCATGTTACTTCTGGAAAACTCTGTTGTACACTTGGGAGAAAATGAAAGTGAAAACGACGGATAATGTCCCACTGTCATTATGAAAGTGTTTGGCCTCACAGACTCCTGAACCAGACTGCGATTTGCAGATATCTCTTTCCGAGGAACTTTGCTGTGAAGAGGAAGTGAGAAGTGGGTGATAGCCAGAGACCTAGAGAGAAGGGGATTATCGCAGGGTCCCCAATTGAAGGAAGGGACAGAACTTGTCCTTCCTGATTTCTGGCCCGCTCTCCCGTTGGGCTTGTTGTGGCTTGCACTCCAGCTGCAGATAGTAAACATAGCACCAATGTGATGAAAAAACACCTCAGCATTCTAGGATTGTAGA